AGCTGTGTGATCGGTGCAGCTTCATTTGCATGAAACCACAAACAAGCCTCGAGAGACGAGGAGTCAGGTTTGGTTTCAGTCGATGAAAGGTTAAGGTGCATAAAGCGTTTGGCTGCAAGTCCTCGTGGTGAATAGCTGGCCTTCGTAGACACATCAGGACGAATGGTAACGCTCTGTTTTCCTGCAAAGGAATTTCTCTAAAGAGGAACTTGTTGATGATGATGCTTGACGTCCAATCAGGAACATCATCCAATCCAGCCGTCCACATGAGAAGGTTACTACAATCTGGAAACCACTCCGACGGCAGAAATCATCCCATTCGATGTCGGACAGGAACATTTCTGACACCTGGGACGTTCAGTTACAAAACTTTTTGACTTCTGTTCCCACAGGGGTCACAATCTTCTAAATAAAGCTCAGGAGTTGCCCCCAAATGGAGATTCAACTGGCAAGAGGTGGCCTCCTTGGACCCCAGACACCCATAGAGGCCTTTTGTTACGACGCATTCTCGTTTCTTCTCTTTGGCTGCTGGGAAAAAGTTTGTTTTTTGATTCAAGTTGAAAAGGTTGTCAGCTTGTCCCTCAACATGTTCGAACTCCTATGTTTGTAGTGTTTGTGTTGTGTTTTCTTAGTGTTGTTGTAATATCTATGTGCAGAAGAAGCCTCTTGGTTTGGACCCAATAGAACCCAGTGGAGGCTTTTCTCATGACTTTTAAATCTAATGTTTAGAAAGGATAAATGATACTCAAATTGATCAAATGATCCCATTTCCTATAAAATGCCCCTAAATGCAACACAGATTTGTCACATCAAACGTGCTCTCTAGATATTATTGCAGTCTTCAATCCTTTCACAAACATCCTCTCACATCTCCTGCAGTTCAACCAGAAACATCTCTAAAGTTTTGTAATGTGACTGTTGAGTGACAAACTGCTTTACGGTGGCGCCAAAGAGTCCAGAATTATTTATTTTTAGCAGAATCCTGTTCGTTCAAATGCTGTATTTTTAATAATTCTTTTACGAGACAAATGGAATAAAGTAAAAATAAATCTGACTTCATTACCAAATAAGAAGCTTCATAAGTCACAGAAGCTCCAGCTTTGGGTTTTTGCTAATTTTACATTCAAAACTCAACAGTTCCCGATGAGAACAGCAAACTGTGCTGCCATGTTGTTTAGGATATTCCTGCTCTGTACTGTGGAGTCTGTATCCATTCACTTTATTGACAGATGTTGTATTAACCTTCCTTTTTCCTGCTACTTTACTCTATTTTGCTGCCACGTCCCAGGAGCCTTGCAGAGTTTTAGCTTTGTTATGCAAGACTTTTCAAATTGATGTCAACATTCAAACAGGAAGTCATTTTTGTTTGGGCTTTCCAAATGGGAACCCTGAGGCGCCATGCAAATGTGTTCCAAACTGACAACAAGAGGTGCCAAAAAAAAGGGACATTCCCCTGAAAGTACATGCCAAGTTAACATGAGGAGGTTTGATGACAAATGGTGAATTCATTGAATGCAAATGTTGAGTCGCTGTCTGCGGGGTTTCCCAAATAACACTCAATTAGACGAAAATACGACATTAGTTTTAACAAGTACATGTAGCAATGTGCTGCATTTGGACTAAAAGCGACCGACGCTGGCTGATAACGGGGGAACAAAGCTGTAGCATCCGTACAAACAAAAGTCGCTATCTGGACGGAGTTTGCTCTGAATGTGGACACAGCTTCACATCTGGCCTCGATTGTCGTGACGCACTGAACTGACGTAAAAGTGGACACAAAGACTCTGATTTGGGAAAAAACCCAAATGGCGAAATGTTTCCCGGTTGGCGGCGCTCCGGCAAAGTACTTCCCCAACATCCACTTTCTGCAAACGTCCGATGCAACAACGACAGCAGCGGAGATTCTGCGTTTATTTTTGCTGCCATTTGGGAAACTGTCCTCTATTTTCAGACGCTGTGTTTTCTGCACGGTGGCCTGGAGGGTTTTCTTGAGGACTCGATAGCGGACATCAGAGCGAACACACGACAAGTCACGGAGGAAGAACATTCTTTGCAGCAGCACACGTGCCCGTTTACTCGCATGATTTCGAGCTTTTGTTGAAGAACATCTCGCCGCAAGCTAAATGGCGAACAAATAAACGCACACGACGAACCCATTTGCAGCTAAAACTTCCTTTTTCATGTCCAGTTACGAGCAGTGACTCTACAAAGTGTTTAAAGCACTTTGAAGTGCTCCTCAAGCAGCGTCTTCACAAAAGCATCGTCCAGCCTGTTATTACCCAATAAAGCCTCTGGCAGCAGGACCAGCGTTTTTCCACCGCACTCGCATCAGCAAGAACATGGATTTAGAGTCCCAGTGCTGAGCCGGCGGATCTCCCCGCTAACCGCTTCCCCAGTGATGGAGACGGAAAACATCTCTGGTCAAAGTCTCCGTCAGGACGCCCGCAAGGCTCGGAGCCAAGCAGGCAGAACTAGACGGACGGTTTAGACTCGAACCGGAGCCATCGGAAACATGTCGGTTCCACTTTCTGTGGGGTTAAACGGTCCTTCTAACCGGGGGGCAGGAGATCTGGGCATCTGTCACAAAGGGCTTTTAAAATGAGTTCTGCAGCAAACATACAATTTATTAGTGCGCTTCAACTGGCAGAAGGCATTCATCACATGAAATTTTTGTTATTTTTTGTCGCCTACCGTAATTTCCGGA